AATATTTATAATGATTTGCATTGATAAGTATTGTATTTTTTCACAGTAAAGTCAGTTCACATAAAACACTTAACATTCACACTCTGTATATTATAAAATTTTCCTTAAAATGCTCCCGAATTCTCTTCTTATATTGTTGTAACCTTAACAAAATACCAGATTTTTAGATCCATATTGAAATATTAATTTAGGTTTAACTGACAGCCTTGTGGTCAATGACACCTGTAGACCTAAAATCACTGCGTATATCCACATATTGCAAATGTTGAACTTTTCTTTGAATTGCTCCCGACTCTCTTCTCTTCGACTCATTATGTTATTGTAATCTTAACGAAATACCAAACTTATAGATACATATTGGAAAGTTAGGTTAGGTTTAAGTGACAGCCTTGTGCACCAAACCTCACCAAAGACTATTGCTATACCGCGTATAAGCTACTGTCCAAATGTCAGAGTTAAAAAGAACTAGAATTCTAAGTTATTTAATGCTTGAACAGCGTGGTTTTCAGAAGGCACAACTCTTATCTATTAACATTGGAAGAAATAAGCGACAATACACAACTAGAATAACTTTTGGACGTAAAACTTGACTTCGTTCCACAATGTAAAGTGCACTACGTCATAGAAAATTATTGGTTTCGAAAAATATCTGAATTTCGAAATGTATTGAATGCTTTCATAACATACTGATTTTCATACATACTCGTATTTCCATATCGATAACGCCTTGTTATTGTATTATAATCCATAATTAAAATTGCATGCCAACTGAAGTGTCACATGTCAATATTTCACATTAAGGTATGTGATATTTGTCAGTTCTGAGTTTACACTTATAACGACAGAAAAACAATCTGACAATATTTTATTTTCTACAATACATGATATTGTTTTATATTGAGAATTTTATAAAATTGATTTTATTTCCATTAATACATTTGTCCTTACATAATTAATGGAAATGCTTCCTTATTAACCTTCATAATGAAATCATTCGAAAAGCCCACACACTTCTCAATTAAAGCAACAATTAAAAAATAGTATTAATAAAAAAAAAAAACTATTAAATAAAAGGGAAAAAATATTCTTATGTGTGTTGCTGGCATAATTTTAATGAATTTTAAATGCATGTCAATTATGCATTTATTGAAGAAGTTGCATTATAATGGAGCCTTATTCAATCAATTTTCGCAATCAACATAAACGCCCACAACTCCACCTCATCACAGTCTGTAACGATGCATCCACAAAGAAAAAAAGAAGAAAACGAGATTAAAAAGTGAGTTTGCGTTATGACGGAAATGTGCGAAAATAATGTATAAAAAATGCTTATAAATGCACAGAGTTGCAATCACCGCAACGCAGCAGCAAGACTGGTAGCAACATCAACACATGAGCGATAAAATCCTGCCACTTGCAGCACTCAATGGCCATAGCTACAGCCACAGCCACAGCCACAGCCAAAGCCACAGCAACTGCAGCGGCAGCGGCAACAATAAGAAAAACTTTAAAACGGTTTTTAGCCGCAACGAGTTTTAAAATGCAATCGCATTCGCATTCGCAATGCAAAAGGTTGTTCGCTTTCAAGCGGTTGGTTATGCAAACCTGACTGAATACTTCAACCTGTGGTTATATGATTTGTGATTTTTATTGTTTGGTCCATTGTTGCTGTTGTTGTTGATTTGTGATTAAATCACCAAAAGTCAGTTAAATTTATTTCTGTCTAACTTCATTCAATGCATACTTTTTGTTTTAATTTATCTTTATCTCTTGCAACGCGAAGTACGAATTTTAGAATAATTACAAAAGTTATGGGTGAGTTTTACTAAAAATATTGTTGCTTTATTGGATTTGAAAGGCACACTTAATGAGAGCTAATGTCAAGCGTTAAATGTTAAAATGTCTTAGCAATCCCTTCGAATAGCTAATTAAATTCTGTGATAATCATATTGGGATTACAACAATTGAAATGTTATTTCAATTGTTATTATTATTATTATCGTTAGGAGATATGGCACTACGACCATCGGGTCTATTGTGCCCCCTTCTGAGTTTAGAGTAGGTCTTTAAGTCCTATTGCGTCAAAAAAAGTAGTATGGAACCTACTTCACAGAGTTTTATTGTCTCTTCCGTAAAAATATACATTCCTATGGGCCTATTTCGTATGTGCATTAGCGCAGAGCATTCTAACAGTACATGTGTGGCCGACTCATCATTCTCTTCACAGAATCTACAGTTTGCATCCGTAAACATACCCAGTTTTGTAAAGTGGTGTTTTCGTCTACATTGCCCTGTTAGGATTCCTGTGATGATTCTAAGTTTTTCTTTTGATAGGTTCATACAATCCTGGTATCTATTATTGTTATAGGAACCCATAACTGATTTGGATTGTTTTAATCCAGTTTTAATTCAGTGATTAAATATAGCACAAATATATTAATCAAATAAAAGTTAATACCAGGTGAATATATAAGTTTTTCCGATTTGTGTTGGTGAAGAAAACACATAATTTTCAAGGGATATAAATATATTTTTAATGAAATTATTAGCCATCGTCTCTATTCATATCAATCATCTTTTAGGAAGTTTATGAATACCATGCCAGAAAAGCTGCTTGTATTCTGCGGCAAACTATTCCTTAAGCCAATTATCTAACTTTCGCGAAATTGCTGAAAAGCTGCCTCATTGATACGAAGAGTTGATAGTTGGATGCCGCTAAGTCTGAGAAGTACGGTGGGTGTAAAGGAATATCCGATCAAAGTGATTTCAAGGGGTGTTTCACTAGTTTTGATCTGCGAGTGCGTTCCTCATTGATACGAAGAGTTGTTAGTCGGATGTCCCATCTAAGTGATTTCAAGTGGTGTTTCACTGGTTTTACTGTGTAATTCGGCGCATTGTCATGTAACAAAATCAATTTGCTATGTCTTTTGACATATACCGGTCGACTTTTGAACAATGCATGATATGAATTAATCATTTGTTAAAGAGAACGTAGTGTATTAAGGGTTTCGCTGGGATTTATGATTTAATAGTACACTATACCATTTTGGTCGCACTAGGTATAAGGCATGGTCCTCTTGCTGAAGCGATTTGGCTTTGGTGTTGAAGAATCGGCTTCGCCAGTAAAAGCCACTTTTTTTCCACTTTAGGTTTTGAAAATAAATCCTTTTTCTGTCCATTTTTAGAAACCATTTTTCGCAAGCAGCATTTTAGAAATGACTACGATTTTTCTTTTTAAATCTTTTATATGGAAATTAACACGTTAAAACTATCGAAACCATTTCTTATGTTGTCTAATCGATGGATTTAGAAATATATGCTCTGACCACATAAAATTTAAATTGATCTGATCATTTTATTAGAAAAGTTTTAGCTTATGTGGTAAAGAAGATATGAACACTAACATGTGGTATGGTTATACCAACATGATGTATCGAGTAAGAATATTTTGACCTGATGTTTAGTTAAAATCTGGTTAAATCAACCAATGAATCAATCAACCATGAGTGTACCAGTCAACGATGACTTTCGACTAAATTTTAATTAGTCTTTGGTGGAGACAAACAAAATGACGTATCTATAAAATTTATGCGGAGCTTAGTTTTCGGTGGTGCCAACTGTTAGTTAACTCAGAAAATACACCTACTAACATTTCGAAGACTCAAATTTTGATTCATATATTATTCAGGACTTATTGTGAATATCTCTTTGTAAAATATTAATCGATTTGTTATTTAATATTTTCTGGCTTTATCATTCTCTTTATAATCACCAAATTAGTATTTGCGTTGGTCATCTTATAACCCATGTATAATTAAATATCACTATATATCAAATAATGGTTGCTGCAATTGGCACCCTCTCTATATATTAGTTAGTTTTTCCGATAGAAATACTTTCATGGATAAACTCATAATACTAGTGACATATGGAGGTTTTGGTTGTGTATTTTACTACCGTAACTAAAAAATGTATATCAGTGCTTGTTTATTAAATTTAATTTTTTTAAATTATAGTTTTTATTACGTATTATTAGATACTTTAAATTTATTAACTAACCAAAAAAGTTATTTAATTTCTTAGGTAGGTTATGATATGTTCCTGCATTTCTAAAATAGTCATACATATAGTATATATCTATATTTGCGAAAGTTATTTATTGATTTTTTTAAGAAGATAATCAGGTTAGAATAAATTTTTTTATAATGAAAGAATTTCGTAATTTAATATTGTTTTTTAATCCTTTTAAAATACCCCAACATACCTAGAAGCTAAACAGCAAAAATGTAAAAAATTTAATTATAGCTAAAAGTTTTAAAAAGTTAAATCAACACGTCAGTGAAGTAAAGAAATTGTAAGAGTTTGAATTTTTAATTAATTTAAACTGAACATTTTTAACTCATTTAATAATTTGGTTCATATAAATAGAAGAGGAAGGTGCGATGCGATGGTATGGATTTTTTTATATTTGAGTTTGTAAAATTAATTTTATATGCAAGGCTTCAGGGATAAAATCTGTCTTTACTTACTGACATTCACTTCCACTAAAATCCACATTTACTTACACTTTTGTAGGTATATATTTACCTATGTACTTTTACTTTTTTAAACAGTAAATCCAATTAATTTCACATATATCAGGTTTTTATAATCAATATACTGGATAGGTGTTACCTATATCGAGACACAGTATAATATTATAATAACAAAGCTATTTTTTATTTTTTTCTTTTTCTATTATTTTATGATTTCAATCATAGTAGTAAATCTTTCTTAATTTAAGCACAGCTTATATTAATTTTTTATTGTATCTAAAATTTTTTTTTAAATTTTGTTTTTAATTTTTTTTTGAACTTTTTTTTTGTTTTAATTTTTTTTCTTTCCATGATTACCGAATACAAAGACATATTTTCATTATTTTTTTATTGTCAGAAAAATAGTTCTTTGTCTATAAAATATGAAATGCATAATCTCCAAGCGTTGCCAGAGTCAAAAAAACAAAAACATCTACTCAATCATGTGTTTAATCGCGTGATTTACTCACCTTTTACGGTCAATATATAATTTTTTATGATTTTTATTATGTTTTATGTTTATATTTATTTTTTATTTGTTTTTATATGAAATCATTTTTAATGATTATAAAGACATTCGACACTGTCTGCGTATTAAGGATTTGACATGACTCATAAAATTAACTTAATTTTGTAGACATAACATATTTACACTTAAGATGACTTGTTATAAATAATCTGTTATGATTAAAAGTTCTATTGAAATGAAAAATTTAAATATAGTTTTATTTCTTTTTTTTTTAATTTGTCGTTAAAATAAGTTACTGTCTAGCATATATCAAATATTTTACATATGAATATACGGGGTGTTATTTTGTTTTCTTCATTTAAGAAATAAAAACAAAATGTATAGTAGAAATACAATAGATTTCATTATATTTTAAAAATAATGAAATAAATCTTAAAATATAAGGAATTAGTTAAAATAAATATAAATACATAGATCTAGTTTCTCAACTTTGTGGCCATTCTAAATGATTTCGTTTATTTATTTGAACTTTTCTGGACGTCTAGAACTTAATACCATGGCTTTCTGTAGGCCCACGTTTAAATTGAGCAAATGACAGACTTAAGTTGCCATAACATTTTTCAAGGGATTGCAAAAGATTTTCATAAAAAAAAAGTGATTAACAAATACAAAACATATTCTATTGTTTCGAAACCTAGTCTCACTCAAATATCTTTAACTTAAAGGTCATAATTGTTTTGCATCAACGTGTGTTTGTAATGTGATTTCTTAGTTCAAGAAATCGTATAGGAGTAGGAATCTATTTTCAATATACAAAAATTGATATCTTCTAATTGAAAAAGGACTTTCTCCTCCTATATGATTTTTATTACTTAGATCAAGGAATCATTTTCTAAAGTTAAAGCACATTAGTAAGAAACACCCTGTATGTTATGTATTTATGCACCATAATACATTTTTAGAATTTTCTATATACTAAAAGTCTATTAAAACAATACAGTTTAACTATTTCTGTCAACTAAAGTTGGGACTTGCTAATAAAAAACGCAACAAATATCTAGAGTGGTTCATTAATAGATTATTGTATTGCAAAGACAATATATGTTTCGTATAACAAATAGCTAAAATTGTCAAATGACAAAATAATTATCAATTAATTAAATTTATCTTATTACATTCAAAGTAAGACCCATTGAGTGTAATGGAACTATCCCATACATGTACATTTCATGCATTTTTCGTAGGTTGCTTAAATATTGGTATTTAATTATTTCACCGAATTTTTGAGTGGTTATTTTAATTAAAGCCTTCCTAAAGTAGAAATTGAAATTATAGAAACAATTAGTTTCCTTCCTCATTTCGAAGGAAATAAGGCCCGATGATGCCGCCAGCGTATAAACCGCCCCCAAACAGTCAATTTTAATGCATGTAATTGTGATTCCTTAAGGGGTGAGGATATATTCGTTTCGACAAATACGACAATTTTGCTTATTTACGTTGCCATTATGTTTGACCATTAACTGGATGAAGTGGTGTATGAATTTCACGAACATATTTAAAGTTAATTTCCACAATCTGGAAGCGTTGTTCTCGCATTAACTAATTCATGAATTCAGTTTGACTATAGTATGTAAACTATAGTTATCGATATCAATATCGATAGTTCTCATGCAGCTAAAAAAATATAATATATATTTAATTTTTTTTAAATATATATTTAATTATTTTATATTATTATATATTATATTATTATATTATTATTTTCATTATTTATTATATATATATTTCGTTATTTTATATATATATTTCAGTATTTTATAATGATATCAAAAACATCCGATATATATTATGTTATTTTATATATATATATATATTTCATTATTTTATGTATATATTTTACTTGAACACTGGAGAGCCCAAACAGGCATGCGACAGTTAAAAAGATTATTGATCCTGATCACATCAAAGTTGATGCTATCCTTGGCCTTAGCAGAAACGATATTAAAATCTACACTAAACTTCTTACAGGACACTGTAGACTTAATTACCACATGAAGATTATAGGTGTGGTAGAAAGTGACTCCTGTCGACTCTGTCATGAGGAGAAAGAAACATCAGAACATGTTCTATGCAACTGCCCAGCGGTTGCAAGACGTAGACTCCATTACCTTGGAAGCGGGATATTAGTCCCAAGTCAAATAGGTAAAATTAAGCCCACAGCAATTACAAGATTTATAAATACTCTAAAACTGTCCTAGTTGGGCCTTTAGGCGCACAATAGATCTTTTAGCTCGGAGTGCTTCAATAGTCTATTACTTAAATAATAATGTATATATTTTATAATTTTATATATATTTTTTATTTTTTATATATGTATTTCATTATTTTTTATATATATATTGCATTTCATTTATTTTTTATTTTATTACACACAAATATATTATATGTATAGATATTTATGTATATAAATATTTATATATTTTAATGGTGGTAAATATTATTCTAAGTAGATATTTTAACATATCGTTTTTATAGTCAGTTAATAAAGATAAATAAAGATTTTATAATTTAATTTACCTTTTATACATTTTACCTTTTGTTTTTTTTTTTATATGTATAATTGAATTTAACATTTTTTATTCTATTCATTTTTAATACTTTTTAAATTTGTTTTGTGCAGATTGTTTTATTTTTTTATTAGAGTTTTTTATGTTTATTGCAAACATCATGTATTTTTGCCTTGGGGCTTTGGTGTTATTCACATGGTTAAAAACTTAAAAAAAATTAATTATAAATACAAATTGCCTGCATGCAATTTTAAATAAGAAAACTCTTTTCCTTGGGCTATACTTTTATAGATTTTGGCAACTTATTGACATTTCGTGCAGTCAGTTTTGCTAAAAATTGATCATTTCAGCAACACATAATAAATTAGAATGCCATAAAAACTCTTGTAGGTTTACCTCAAAGATTTATTTATCTTATGTTGAGACGTTGTAGTTGTTAGTAAACTTTCGAAATAACTTCATTATGAACCAAATTTTAAAATATGTTAATTTATAGAGAATTCCCTCTTCAGTTTTAATTTTTTTGGTATTATTTTAAAATTTGAAATTCAATAATTTCTTACTTTTCTCATAATTCTATTCACAATTTCCATTTTAAATGAAACATTAAATTTTGGTTGAAATCATATTTTCTGTTTCTCTACGGAAATACTAAATGTACAGTGTAATGTTTAAAACATTATTCTAAATTTATTGGAATTATTACAAATTGAACCCTTGGCATTTATAAACTTTACTTAATAGTTTAAGTTTGTGTCAATATTAACATGCACAACAGCAAAATTAATAATTCACTATTTGGAATACAAAAGCAGGACTAAACAATCAAAGAGCATATGAAATTATCCCATTGGTTTGTTATTTGTGTGCTAAGTCCTTAATAGGTTTTGCTGCACAGGACATCATTCGGCTAGCCCGAGTGTGTCGTCAATAAATTGAAATTATTTTACTAAATGCACAATTTTACCATAGAGCCTTGCAGGTACCTAATAATAATTCAGATTATTACTGGAATTAATGTGTTTGTAATAATTGAATATTAGTATTCAGTTGAAATATTTTAAGAAATTTCCTACTTCATTTCGGTATATGTAGGTATATTATATTAGTAATGGTATATCTCTCTCGTATATTTGTTAATAGTTACAATGATTGTTTGATATTTGATAGTATTTATTAAATAATGATGTCGTTAATTTTAATATTAGTTGAGTGAGTTATTACAATACTGTTACTAATTTAATATTAATAACTTAATTAGTAATAATAACTAAATTACTAATATTGGGCTTTTAGCAATAGATAAAATCATTTTAAATATTCATTAAATATGTAATTATTATGTATTATTGTTATAGCTTATTAAATCAAAGTTTATGTTTAATATGCAATAAATTTTAAATTGTACTTAGATATATGATATGCCTTATAATATTAAAATTTTTCCTTTTGAAAAATTTTGTATTATAATAAAATTAAAAATTAAGAAATTATTAAAAAGAGATATAAGTAAAAAAGAGCACTATAAATTTATTTTTTAATTAAGTGATTATTTATTTGTTTGGAAAATACCAAAATATTCATCAATATTGGTATTTTTAAATATATATTAATTAATTATTTGTTTAAAGTTGCTGGACTGGAATTACCACCCATCGAGTCCTGTTAAATGTAAAGCCCGTTTTTAGATGAGTAATTGGAGAAAACGGGGTTTGGAGATTAAACGGACAATTGAACCCTTTGACAGTGCTATCTAAAGATAATATAAAACTACATAGTTTTAATATAATTATATTTTTATATTTTAATGCTAATATTAACTGAAAATTTTAATCATGCAGAGTTAAAGCATTTAAGAAGTTTTAAAAATAAATATGGTAGGATACTTGTATATTATTTTGATCAAAGAAAATAGTTATAAAAGTCTTAAAAGAAAATATCAAGATCCTAAAACGAATTCCTCTACATAACAAAGTTTTGTTGAAGACACATTGATTATTTAAATTTTTTCATATACTTAAACCTCTCTATAGCAAACCTTTTTATAGCGGATTACTCTCTATAACAAAGTTTTTACAGGTAACAAAATTTTATATAGCCTGGCTTCTCAGGTCAATGTATCGCTTATTATCTGTTCAAGTAACATTGAAGGTATACCCTTTCGCCTTTTTCGTAGAGTAATATTAGAATGACTTTTCTAGATTAGGTTTTATACATAAGAAAGAATATATAAACCATGCAACGAATAATGCCTCTACAAACAGAATAGTATTGAAATTTAACAAAAATAAAAATATAATTAAATAATTCAATTATTCTACAGCTGGTTTATGATTTCGTTCTAACATAAACACATCCAGTAAAATTGTTAATAAAAACTTTCACAAAACTCCAGAAATATATGCGAACATTCAAGTCAAGTACGGCCTTGGGTCAGTTGGTTAAGGTATGTTGACTCTAAGCTTCAAATTTGGTAGGACATGAGTTCGAGTCCTGGTACTTGCAGTCTCAAAAATAATTATTTACGAATAATTAAATACAAGAATTATTTCCAAGACCACTAATGATGGTTATTTGACAATACTCGAAACAGCTGTATGGTTAGCCAAAAATTCAATTAATTAAATTAATATAAAATAAATTTTTGTTGTTGTAGTTCGCTACTGTTCGAAAAACATCTTTCTCCTTTTTCTCTAAAGAAAGCGTATGGTTTTAATTAATTTTGGGAGTATAACAGCAATGTTATTTCTTGAAATATTAATTAATAAAATTTAAAAAATAACAAACTAAATTTTTATATTTATTATTAATAATAATAATTATTAATAAGTTAAAAATCTAATTGAACTTCAACTCCAAAACACCAAAAACCTCAAAATTTGGTAACTCGAAAGTCAGTTGGTAATTTTTAATTAAATATTTAATTGGAATATATTTTCACTTGCTATATTATTAATAATGTATAATCTGTTAAAACCACGATTGCGGTAATGAAACCAAATATGGTTGCCTAACAATATTATGTGTTTTATCAAAATTGGGTCAAAAGTAAATAAGTAAAATTTTAATAAAATTTTGTGGTCAATTTTGTGTATATTTGAAAAATAAATTCAAACGAGTCTAGTATACATATCATATGAGAATGAATATTCTACTTAAATTTATGAGATATAAAATCAGTAACAAATTTTATATAAACTGCACTTAAGTAAAGTATTTAATTAGCTTTCAAGTACAGAAACTGAAATTTCCGTTTACACATATAAACTAAATGTATGCACAATATAAAATTTAAATATTCTATTTTTAATTAAAAATTTGTGCTTTAAATATTGTTTGTTGTTATTTCGCTTAGGAACGGAAATACCAGAGTAGCAATCATTCGTAAATATTCCCATAAAAATCAAAATGTATATGTGCATTTGAAATTATCCGTTAGTGCACAAGACAAATATAGTAAACTATGTATTACAATATATATATATATATATACATATGTATATAAATTAACCTTTTCTCTTCCAATCATTTTTATTAAAATGCAAATTTATTTTTTTTTCTTCTTCTATTTACAAACTGAAAGATTATTTATTCATTGTGATTTTTAATTTAATTAATTATGTTCATTTCAATTACAAAATAACAATTTCAAAATCATAAATGATTTATTAGTAATAAAAGATTTTTCATAAAAATAGTTTCGTGAATAGAATTACGTCAAGTGCGAAAAAAAAAATCTTAAATGAAAAATATAATAAACAATTTATGGAAAATGTATATAAAAAAAAAATAAAAAATATTAATAAGAAAAAAAAAATATTTAAGTAAAATAAAAACAATCGGCAAAATATATTACAAAAGATGAAAAGCAATAAAGTAGCACAGGCGCGGATAAGCATTAAATATGAATGCGTCCGCGTCCACATCTACGTCTACATCTACGTCTACGTCTATGAATCCGTACATAAAACGTACTCAATATTGTTGGCAAACGACATTCATATCTATATAAGAATTTTATTTTTTATTTTTGTATTTATTTACGATAAAAAAATTTATTTTTTTAAATATTTTCTGCATTAGTACGTCTGTTAATTAACAAAACAAAAAGCGATAAACAAATTTCATATTTTTTTTATATACTGAAAACATAAAATAAATAACTCACATGATGAAATTATTGATAATGCAGATATATGAATGTACATATTTTTTATAATAACTACATAATTAGTCAGATATTGAAAGTATATGCATTCGCAATTAAATTAGTATTAGATGGGCTTGAGAGGTGTTTGATAGGTGAGTAGGAGGTTAACTGCAGGATGTAGGGAACGAAAGCCTCAAAGTATAAAAGACTTTAATATATAATAATGATATTTTAATACTTCAACAAAAAAAAGTATTAAATTCCTTATATATATATATATAAGTTTTATACGGTTACATTAAGGACTTTTCATAAAATTTATATAGTTTGTATCAAAAATTGGTC